GTCCGAACTTGACGGCGTTCGGCCCCCGCCAAAAATGATTTCGGGGCCTAAAAATATATTTTTTTTTCTGAATGTTTTTTTTGTGAGTTCTCTATGACATGAGGTACATGCCTGTAAATTTTCAAGTCATTTGGCTCAGCCACATAAGAATTACAAATCGCCAAAGATGGCGGTCTCAAAACGTGCTCGCCCAAGTTTTTTTTCACTTTTTACTTTTTGTTTTCACTTTAGTTCAGGGTCTAAACGATTTTATTATTTTTTGAAACTTTTTTAGTGGGTTTTGCATTATGTGAAGTACACATATGTAAATTTTCAGGGCATTTAGCTATGCCAAAAACAAAATAAAAATCTCCAAAGATGGCGGTGTCGAAAACGTGCTCGCGCACTCACTAAATTTAATTCTTTTTTATTTTTTGTTATTTTTATTATTAGTATTTATTATTCGTATTTTATTTTGATTGCAAAATTGGTAAGGAATTTGGATGGAGTGCTCAGGCAAATCTTGCTTAATTTATTTTTCTTCATAACATGTCTTTTTTTCAGATTTTTTCTAGGCTACCAAAGTGACCCGGGTCACTTGCCCGGCCGGGCCAAAATAATTAAAAAAAATAAAAATAAATCTAGGCTACCAGCCGGACCGCCCGGGTCCCGGGTGGCCAGCCCGTGCAAGGAACAGGGAAGGTCCCAGCAAAAAAAAGAAAAAAGAAAAAAAATCTCCAAAAAATCCGAGAAAACACTATGTTATGCAGAAAAATAAACTGAACAACTTTTGCCTCAGGGTCACGCGGAAATTCTTCACCAAATTTAGAATAAAAAATAAATTCTAAAAATAAAGTTTTTATTTTTATTATTTTTTTTTTTTGGCCCGGCCGGGCAAGTGACCCCGGGCCACTCTGGTAGTGCAAGGAACATGAGTATGGACGAAGCACAGAAATCCAGAATGCAATATCACACTGAAGTCCAAGTATTCAAAGCCAAAGCAGATAGTACAATGGAACCGAGTAACCATCCAATTGAGAATGATACCGAAGAATCGTGAGTCAATGTCCATGCCCAACAGGGCAACACCAACAGCATAACCCAAATGTAGCTCTCTCTTGCAAATGGCGCCAGGCGCCCTATCTACTCTACAGCCTATCCTACAACTACAGCAATGAACGCAACCAGACAACTTGACTACCAGCGAGTGATGATGTCAACACCAATGCCGACCTCCACCATCACCAGGTACGTGTCCTCTTCCCCACACTCTCCCTTGTTACCCACACAGCGCCCTTCACCTCCGAAGAACCACCTTCGCCCTTCACCTCTCTGCACCCTCATGCGGCCCGGCTATGGCCGCCAGTACCTTGCATGCAGGCAGCGCCCTACCGCCTAGCGCTGGCCTGCTTGCTCTTAGCGCAGCGCTGCTTTGCACAGTGCAGCACACATGCATCCGCGCAGCGTGCCCGCAAGTGCCAGCATTGGCCAAGATGCCTGCCCACTCGCCCTGCTTGCCTATATGCCAGTGCTGCGTGTGGGCGGCCTCCCTTCAGCCTGCGACTGGGCCCCAGTGGCTGAACCCAGCCCGATACAGTTGAGGCCCGGGGCAATGCAGTTGCGCCTCTTTCATCAAGGCCTGTGGCCAGATTCAGATAGTGGGCCGATTTCCCTTTGGCATTTTCGGCCTCTATACCCAGCATGCATTGTCGGCCTCACGTTCAAGTGCCCAGGGCCTAACTAACTCAGAGGCCCTGGGATCTCCACATTTGCAGAGATTCGAGACTTGGTGCACTCCAACCAACTGGCGTGCTGCAACTGTATGGACCCCCACTTCGGGAAATGTTTGCACAGAGGGTTCTTGTTGATTTGCTGGCCCGCCTTCACTTAGGGCGGGCACTAGATTTGCTGGGGCCTTAGCCCAGAACATGTACATCATGCCAAGGCCCCTTCTTGAGGGCTCAATCCTCACAGTAGCCTAGAAATAAATAAAATATTTTTGAATTTGATTTTTTATTTTAAATTTGGTGAAGAATTTAAATGTGACCCTGAGGCAAAAGTTGTTCAGTTTATTTTTCTGCATAACATAGTTGTTTTTCAGAATTTTT